GAAATACATTTTCCCTTTTTCGAAGATCGTTTAGAATAGGAGAATAGGAAAAGAGGAAAATTCTTAGGGAATTTTTATTCATGATAGGAGAAAAGAGAAATGAGGAAAAATTCCTAGAGAATTTCTATTCAGAATTGGGCTGACATACCCTCAGAAACATATGCTGTGTTTCTTTGGCCAATGATTGGGATCCGGATAAAAACTATGCACGCATATGCAACAACAGAGCTCGAATCGTAACATCCGTCCACGGATCGAAAACCATACGAAAGAAAAGTGCGTAATACGTCAGTCGTATAAGCTGAGTGGAATAAAGAGTACGTTCACGTATGTCATAATCCGACAAATGTATTTTTACGTGACGAGTAATACGATAACGCATGTGACGATTCGAGATCTGATAGAGATCTGGTTCAATTTATGATCCGCAGTGTTTGTTTGGTTTAACTAAAAATTTTCTGCCCGCTATGGTAGCACTGACAAATGATTATATACACAAACAGATATTCTGCCTTTTGTTTCTCTTAACGTGATTTAAAAAAATAGCCTTTATGTTAAATATTTATTTAAGTGAATACTATTCCGTTTGAATGTGCTCTTCCGCATTTAGTGAGTTCAATTTTTTCCAGATGGTTTCCGTGAGAAGTAATCGTGAAACGGAGCTGGATAACGCAAGAAAACACAGCTATATATATATATACATACATCCTGGACCGTTTGAATACAAAATTGCGCTCAAGGCGAATTTATACAAAAGGTTTATATTTAAAGAGCTGTATTTATCTATAAAAATTGTGCTCGTAGATTTTCACTTACTGCCGTCCCTAAATTGGCGCGTCAAACGCTAAACGACTGCCAAAAATCCTCACGGCCGTTCACTTTCAGTGTATTCAACAATAATGCTTCGCTAGTGGCAAGCAAATTGAATTTTCACACTCGTTGACAATGGAAAACGCAACGCTAGCGCTCCAATTTATGGACGGAAGTTACCCATGCACCTCCTTCCAGCGTTTTTTCTGTGATGCTTATAGATAGGGTATTCCCTTAAACTCGTTAATTCTTAATGCCCTGTATGCAGCTCTCAAGAAAACGGTCAAGGGAAAATTGGCATTATTTCGTGTGTATGTCCAAGCAATTTTGACATTTTTGATACTTCACAGCCTGTTGCCTCACTCTTTCCTGAAGAAATAATGGAATATATTTCTGTTGCAAACTTAATGTACATTTATCCATACAAAATTCGTCACCTAAATGCAACTAAATGCAACTCCATTTTTGCATTAAGAATCTAAATGCTAAAAGCAAACCTGTGATCTTCCAAAATTTCCCCGATTCGAACATGGTTTAATGAGAAAAAGTGGCAACAATGCTTTTTTGCGTATAGTGGCTAGCTGCATTTCAGTGATCGCCGATCGAGATTTCATTTATTATTTAACATTATTTGGATAAAGAAAAGTTACACAAATTCAACATGGATGTGATGCAATTTGTGATCAACTCTGTTTGTTTTGTTTCCTAATTAAGTGAGGAAATTGTAATTGACATCACCGACAAATGAATATATACACAAACAAATGTTCGGTTATGGTTAAAACAATTCAAGTTTTTGTATTGTATTTTCGGTTTAAAATTAATTATTTTCTTTTTAGTAGGGTTTTGCCCCTTAAATCCTGCGTGAGAATTGATCGTAATAGATACGGATTTGAATAAGCGCCTGGAACACGGCTGTTTGTCAAAAGCATACGATTTCGAACTAGCGTAAATGTACATTTGCTAAATGCGATAGCATGAACGCTCTTTCTTCGAAAACATGTGTTCGAAAGCGCTAAATGTTGCATTTTAAATGCAGCAAAAACACTGCATAACCTAACAATTTTGACAGTTCTTTGATGAGGCTCGTAAATTTACGAGCTTTACGGGGTTTACGAAGCTTTTACGAGTTTAATGGGTGGTACACTTTGTCCATCAAGTTTGTCAGTAAAGAATTTATCAGTTTTGACTGACGCCTTGTAGCGGTCGAAATATCAGTCATGTATGATATAAAATCCTCTTTGAAGCCGTCAAATTCATTAAGGAAAGATGGAGGATAAAAAGATTATGAAGGAATTTACCTTGGTCGAACCACCAAAAGTATTGCTAACTTTGATTGCTTAATCCTTTTAAGCTATCTTCTATAGGCCGAAAGAATAGTATGTATTTCTTTTGCATCTTTAACATTGCATTGTTGTTTGTATTTTTTCATCATATTTAACAATTCTTCATTTAATTTTATTTTTCAGTCACGCATCACGTACTCTGGACTAGTTCTGTCCCGGAGACAACGTTGCATCTCATAGCAATCTTAAAACTCTTTCAAAAAATCGTGATTCGGGTCCATTTTCAACGATGCGCTGATAATATTCGAAAATCTAGTTTTATTTGGCTGCAATTTAGTTTGGCATCCCCGGAGTTCCGCATTAAGGTAGCTATGGAACGATAGAGGGAGTTCTCCTGATTGCAAATACATATACTTTTAGCCGCAGCAGGCTTCTAGTTTTTAAGTTATTTGTTGTTAAAGTTTGTAAATTGAACTAACCTCTCGGCGCTATTTCACACAATAAACACTTTATTTATGTGCACACTTCGGCAAAATAGTTGCATTAAAACCCCGGCCTGAGATTTCCACTTTAATATACAATTCATAATTAATAAATTAAGTAAAACGCGTTTATAAATGTCTTCACAAACGTTTGCACATTTCACAAACAAGCAGAAATAACAATGGCTGACAGTAACACAAAATGTATGCTACCATACGTTAAAAAAAATACACAAATAAGTGCGTATAATTAGGAAGTATAAGTGTATATATATTGCCCTTATTAAAAATAATAATATTAGGATCGATAGGGGTCTTACTCCTGATCATAACGGTATTATTTTGTTCGGGTGGAAATAATATTTACTGGTGTTATTGTAGTTCAAATTACACAAATGTAGAAAACGTACATCGTTAATTTGATAAATAATGAAAATTTTTAATAAAAAATCACGCGGTTTTTCCATAAAAATCAATACTTCGATAAATAATAAAAATTTTTGCGGCGCTTTTCCCATAAAAATTTATACTTCCATAAAAAATGAAAATTTTTAATAAAAAATCGCGCGATATTTTATTACAAATTTTCTCCTGCGGCGCTTTTTCCATAAAAATCAATACTTGATAAATAATGAAAATTTTTAATAAAAAATCGCGCGACTTTTTATTAAAAATTTTCGGCTGCGGCGCTTGTCAGTTTTTTTTTTTATTGGGGGTATTTAACCCCATACCCTCCTTTACTACTAATTCAACGCTGAGCAGGAAAATGGGTACGATAAAAACTATTCTCTTTTATTGTTATTTTCTTAGATGTGGCTGCACTCTTCTAATGTCAGTGTGAAACCATGGTTGAATCAACGGTTCTGTATTCACAATGTGCGTATACATATATAAGTGCGTGATAATTATTAAAACTTACTTAATTTACTAAAAATACATCATAAATGTAAAAAGTATGTTTACATTTCATTGTGCGGGGTTTTAATGCAACTATTTTGCCAAAGTGTCTACATAAATATAGTGTTTATTGTGTGAAATAGCGCCGAGAGGTTAGTTCAATTTACAAACTTTAACAACAAATAACTTAAAAACTATAAGCCTCCTGCGGCTAAAAGTATATATATTTGCAATCAGGAGAACTCCCCCTACCCCCCCATAGCCACCTTTGGGAAAATTTTAGTAGACGCACGGCAAATTCTAGAAACAGGGGGGATGAGGGGGGGTAGAATAGGACCCCCTGATTTCAAAACTACCCCCCTTTTTTCTAGCAACCCTATAGTTCTTATATAATTTATTGTTAAAGTTTTCATATAAACGATGAATAAGATAGCAAAATAACATACAACTTAGTGCTACCAGACTGGAATTTTGAATAATAAAAGCGGATTTTTAATTCGGAATTTTTACTTAGTAGAATTATTATTTTTGTGTTGCCGAAGAAGGGGGGGGCTGAACACATTTTGCAGAGAACACCTTTCTGCGTAGGCGGCCTTCGGCCGCACTTAGGGATTATAACCCTCAGGCAGTAGAATTCTCCTTTCTGTTTTGCGAAGAAAAGGAGCTGAACACCTTTTGCAGAGAACACCTTTCTGCGTAGGCGGCCTTCGGCCGCACTTAGGGATTATAACCCTCAGGCAATAGAATTCTCCTTTCTGTTTCGCGAAGAAAAGGAGCTGAACACTTTCTTTTGTATTGATTTCCCCTGTATTCCTTTTTAATCATTGCCTTCTTTGTATGTATTGTTTTGTACAATATGGCAACACATGTTATGTGTCAGTTTGCAACCATGTGTTATTGTAAATATGCGTGAAATTCAATGTAATTTACAAGTCGATAAAAGTTGAATTAAAGTGATTTATATACAAGATAAAATAAAAGAAAAGTGTGTAAAGTATTAAGTACAGTGTTATGTGCATTTATATATATAAAAGTATGCACAAATGCTTTTTTGTTAAGGAAACCAAGTGGAACGACTTAAGAAATTTTAACAACAAATAACTTATAAACAATGATATTATTTATATTTTTTAGTTATACATGTTTTAGAGGATACCTCCCTTAACATCCTGACCAAGTTTCGTTTGTTAATTCCACCTGGTTTTCTTAAAACACAAGGTGCGGCTGACTACTAAAGCCCACCCCCACCTTTTTTTTGTACGCGGGGGATGCCAAACTTAAATTTTCCCCACAATAATAGTCAACACTTAAATGGCTGCTGACTGACAGTCAACCTCAAAAATATTTGCCTGGAAATTTAAGCAAAACTGTCGATTTTGATCGCCAACGTGGACCATGCATTAGGGAAGACCCCTAGAGAAAAACATCGAACATCGAAAGGAAAAAATCGATGTTTGAAATTAATTCAAAATCATCGATGTATCGCTATTACACATTCAATTTTCCCCTTTCAATTTTCAATACTCTCACACTTTTTCACTAACGCACTCTTATTTATTGCTTGAATGGGTGACTTGCTTTCAATTTTTCCCTTTCAATTGAGTTTCAATTTTGCTTTCAATTTTGCTCAGCTTTTCAGCATTGGCGTGCGAATTTTGTGGAAATAAAAAAATACTAAGGTTATGCATGGTACAATGTTAATCTACAATGGAATTACTATGGAAAATTTCAGAAGCTAGTTAGTTACATTGTTTTCTTGAAGACGGCATGTTGATAATGAAATTGCTTCTCAAATCGAATGCAGCCTACGTAATGGCTTTAAATTTTTATGATTTTAGACAAGCAAAGTGTGTGAGGAAATGGAAAGGCAAAACTGATTGTGTGTCATCAGCGTTATATCGACGTATTAGACCTGGAATACTATAGCTCGGAACACTTTGACGACTGCAACTTCACGACGTAACGACAGCGACATCATTTTGTCGACAAATGTCGCCTTGAAGCCAGCTTCTTAAACATTTTGAAGACCTCAGCGACATAGCAAACAGCTGATTTTAAAGTTTGACATTTTGGTATATTTATTTCACAAATTGTGTATTTTTATTTAAGTAAATAAGAAAAACATGAACAATCAAGAATATGTGATTAATTTTGCGACAATTTAATTTTGCAGCACTACATCTACTCATTGTCGCCGGCAAAATTAGAAATAGATTTAATTTGGCGACGTCGACAATTGCAGTCCTGCAGCCAAGATGTCGTGCTGCCGTCAAAATAAGAACGTGTGTATTTAAAATTTGACAGATGCTGCTTGTAGCTTGCTGTCGTCAAAGTGTTCCGAGCTTATTCGATAGTACCGCCACTCGATAGTTTTCGAAACGATAGTTGAAAACATCGATAGTATCAATAGTACTATCGTCGTGACAGGTATTGAATTGAAACGCTCAATTGCTTGAAAATTAAATAATTAATAAATTTATAAAATTTATAAATTACTTTGTAAATTAAAGACATTGTGCATTTTTTTTAATTTGGGTGCATAAAAAATAACTTTTTATGATAATAAAATAAACTTATTAATTTATGCGTCTGAGTTATATAACTTATATGCATACCCTTGGACCCCCTTGAATAGCGACAGGCAAAATCTGAATTTATTTTTTATATGGCAAAATTAAAATCGCATTGTGTTTAAAGTGCAAAGAAGTGAAATTGGCTATGAAAATACATTTATATTACTACAAAACAAACAACATAAAAGATATTCTTTTAGATTGAAAACTTATTCTTATAAAAGTTCAACTGAGATCAAATACGGAGGCGCATATCAAAATCCGGACAAGGGAAATTATTAACATTTTACCATTTTATAAGAAAACGAATATAGTTCTGCTCAAACTAATAGCATCAAAATATTTTTTTTTAGCAATTTGGCTACTTTTTTGTTTGTTTAGTGTCTACTAATTTTTTATAAAAGTTGTACAAACCATAAAAAACGACAATATAATTAAAAATGCAAGCTTTTTAATTCTAATTCTGTAAAAATTTTGTGTAAGCATTTTTATAGCTTATTAAATTTTACCATAACTCAGTGTAAGCTGATAGTTGCTAAAAATCCCAATGAGTTAGATTTTTTTTTTGCCGACTGTGTTGTGAATTTTCTTGCATAAAAAAAAATGCATGTAATGTGTAGAAATGTAAAGAAGAGACATTGGGCCTCAGCACACTAGCCTGCTAAGTCGGATTGAGCAGTCCACCAGTCGAACGCACACTGGACTTGGCAGTCGGACGAAAACAGGTTTCAGTTTTGTAAACATGAACTCGCATGATTGTGTTAGTGCATGTGACACATGCAAACAAAACGAAATAAAAAACATGTTGTCTATGTGTGCGTGTCAGTCCACGGCAAACCGCGATTTTCGCGGACTGAAATGAACGAGGTAAACTCGAACTCTTTTTTTCCCTCTTATCCACACAAAACCGGTTAAGGCGGACTGAGCAGTCCAGTGTGCGGAGGCCCATTGTGAAGTCTTGCTAAACCGCCATCGATTGTTTTCAAAAACTATCGATAGTGGCGATAGTTTTAAACTATCGATACTATCGATAGTATCCCAGTTCTACGACGTTTCTTCTAGTTCTAGTATCGAGTATTTACTTATCTCGTTTGTTCCATATTTTAAGAGGTTAGTGTTCGAATATTTTATTAGGGCTATTTGAGGTGCCTACCTTTATTTTTTAACGTAACAATTTAAAATTTTAAGATGGAAGAGTATGCGCGAGAGCCTTGTCCTTTCAGGATTATTGATGACTGCGGTGGTGCTTTTGCTATGGGTTGCATAGGTGGTGGAATATTTCAAGCTATTAAAGGGTTTCGTAATGCTCCGTCTGGCCTAAACAAACGTTTGGTAAATATGCTTAAATTACAACTTTGTTCAGTATGTATGCAAAATGCAGATCCTTAGAGATAGAAGGGGTCATACACACGGTCGTGAACGGCGAGGAAACTCGTCCTATGAGTAATTTGTTAAGAGGGAATTTACATTTTCATTTCATTTCATTTATTAATAAAATCATTAGCACAATAAGATCAAAAGAATGATCTTTTATAGCGCAACAAAAAATTCATAACAGTACATACATATAACTAAAACAGCAAAAATTACTTAAGACTAAATAAAAGTAACATAATATAATTAACAGAGTAGTATTTTTAAGTGAGTTCTACAATTCCAGGACATATACTTAAAATAAGACTTAATTAAACAAGTACATAGGGAGCACATCACAGGGACTGAAGAGAAGCTAACGGAAATATGCATACAGAACATTTTTAGAGTTGCTTTTGTTTAAACTATGCGAATATGGGATGGAATAGAGTTCCAGATGCGGATAGCATTGACAAAGAATAGCCGTCCAGGGCTGAGATAATTGTAGGTAGGAACAGTCAAGTCCTTTACTCGAGTGGATTTGGGGAACGCTAATTTTTCATATAGGTATTTGGGTGCCTTATCTGTCATGAGACGAAAAAGGAATACACAATTTCTAACTTTAAGATATTCAGAAATTTCGCAGCCAAGTAGGCGCGTTCTCCAAGCGGAAATATGTTCATATTTTGCTAGCCCAAACACATAGCGCGTGATCTGGTTAAATACTACATCTATTTTGTGAGCTGATTGTATACTACCTCAGAATAACAGATAATTGGCATTATAAGTTGGATTGCGAGTTTACGTCTGATTTCTATCGGTGTAAATGGAGCAGACATTCGTAAATTCCTTAAAGCATTATAGACTTTGCCTACAGTTGAATTCACATGGTCAATGCAGGTAAGGCCAGTGTTGATAATAAACCCAAGGTTAGTTACTTTTGACACAAATTTAATTGGTTTGCCATCAATGTGTAACGATGGAATAGTTGCTAGGTTAAGACGTTTCTTACAAATAGGTAATACAAAACACTTGTCACAATTAAGACGAAGACCATTTAACTGTGCCCAGGACTTTATAGACATCAGTTCTCTGTTGAAGCTTGCGCTCAAATTAGCTGAGTCCTCCAGAGGACCTGACATATAGAGCTGGACATCGTCCGCATAGGCATGGATGTTGGCGTGCATAGAAGTCCGAAATATATCATTAACGAACAAACTAAATAGAGGTGGTCCTAGGATTGACCCTTGTGGGACACCCGTGAACAAAGGCCTTTGTTCAGATATTTGAGATCCAACCTTGGCACGCTGAGACCTCTTTCAGATAGCTACGCATCAGTTTTACACTTGACTCTCTAAACCCAAAGTAGTTTTTTAGTTTAAAGCACAGTAGTTCATGGCTAACTGAATCAAAGGCTTTAGAGAAGTCCAGCAAGCATAGTAGTGTTAAGTGGTTCTTGTCGAACAGTATTTTAATGTCATCAAGTATCTTTACCATTGCAGTAGAGCAGCTGTGATGGGGTCTGAATCCGGATTGAAATGGGGATATAAGGTTGAATTTACCGATGTGGGTAGAGATTTGTTCAGATAACAAAGATTCGAAAACTTTAAACAAGGCTGGTAGTATGCTGATGGGTCGGAAATCACTAGGGCTGGATGCGGATTTATTTTTGGCTACAGGAAGCATAGTAGCAATCTTCCAGGCATCGGGAAAACAGGACGTGGTTAGACTATGGTTTATTATGTGTGTCAAGGTTGGCAAAATAATCGGTAAGATTACCTTCACAAATCTAATCGGAATACCGTCCTCCCCGATTGCGTTGAACCTGATCTTAAAAACAGATTTCACCACATCAATCTCGCTCACAGCAATGAACTCAAACTTTTCGCCAGCAAAAGAGAAGGCTACAGAATTGGTCGTAAAGGGACAAGATGAAGGCGGAGAAGCAAAGGCAACGCTAAGCGTTTCAGGACTCAACGAGCATTCTGATTTCTCACTGGCATGGACGCGGAGTGTTCTCAAATTTCGCCAGAGTACATTATAAGGCAGTGAGGGATCCAGCTTATTCATAAAGAATTTTTTCTTCCCACGTCTTATAACCGAGGTGGCTTCATTCCTTATTGTTTTGAAAGCACTCCAGCTCTCATCTGTCGGGTTCCTTTTCCATATGTTATAATATTTATTGCGTTTTTTAATCACTGATCGGACCACACCATTAAACCAACTGCAGGAAGAAGACCTGTCACAGGTTCGGGTAGGGACATGAGTGAGGAGCGAATTTAACATGATTCAAAAGTTGAACGAAAGTAGGCAGCCGACCAACTTCATTGAAAGCGATTAGTTGAAAGGCCGTTTACACCAGGCGATTGTTGCTTTCAACTAAAAATCGCCTGAAAAATCGCCTCATGTAAATTCCCTATTACTCCGAAAGGTTACATTGAAGGTACGACTGCACTGAAACTGCAGCGGCGGGACACTTCGCTGCAAATTTTTTTATTTATTTGAGTCAAAACCTTTAAAAAATATGAATGCCAGTGACGCTGATGTAATGTTAAAGCCTTTTATTGGCGAATTCTCTTATGTTTCTATACATAAAATTTTCTTCTTGAATGAAATGCATGTGAATATTCACTCTCAATTCGAAATCAATTTCTTCAAGTTAAAATTATAGTAGGAAATATTATGTAGCTTCGCTGGGTATACCGCACTATGCGGCACCGGAATTGCGCGACAACACGCTACGCGACATTTTTGCGTAGTTGGTTAACTTTGCCGCGCAGCGTCGCATCGCCAAGCTCCGCTGTAGCGTAGTGCGGTATGCTCCATAAGAATCCATGCAAATAATATTGGTAGTAGTGCACTTTACGGGAACCAGGTCAAAATGGACGGAACAAATCGAGAGTATCAATCGACGCGTTTTAACACGAGTAATAACAATCCGCGGGGGGGGAACAAGATTTTTAATTAATTTAAGAGTTATTCGCAAAAAACACTTGCACTTTGCACTTTTCGCACCATGTTTTGATGAATTTGATGCAAATGGAGTAAATGAAAGTTTTTCTCTGCACAAGGTGTTCAGGCCCCCTTTGGCAACACAGAAAGGATAGTTCTACTGCCTGAGGATTATAATCCCTAAGTGCGGCCGAAGGACGCCTTCGCAAAAAGGAGTTGGACGCCTGCTTCCGCTAAAGTGCACTTTTACCAGAATATTTTACCGCGCTGTGTAGTGTCGTGTCACGTTGTTGTTGTTGTAACGCGTCGCCTAGTGCGGTCGTACCTTTGTGGTGACGTTGGTCTCTGGGACCAAGGTAAATTATTAATTCTTTTTTTTTACGTTGAAGTACTTAAAATTTCTTTGGTTCTGATTGCATTCAAATAATAATCAAGTGAGGTGTCAAATAAAAGGGCTCTGACTTTAGGTGTGCAATAACATTTAACTTTTTCGAAAAGAGTTGCCACCTTTTAATTTTTTTATTTTTTTATGAAATCAATTATTATTTTATAATTATGAAATCAATTATTTTCTTATTTTTTATGAAATCAATTAGTAATAATGCCTTTCTGGCTGATAGTTAGTATAAGAAACGTATAAACAAAAAAATAATCATTGAACAATCAACAATGCTACCGATTCACGTATGGTCTAAGGACTGATAAAAGTACATATATATATGAGTATATATAATACTCGAGGCATTTTTTGTTCCGCATAAAAGATCTGCACCGTTCGTTCGATTTTCAAAAATGTAGTGTCAAATTAAAGCGCTTAGCTTGTAGATGTGCAACCTGGTTTTATTTTTTCGAAAGGAGTTGCCACCTGTAGAACAATTGAATATAAACTATATAATAAGCAATACCGTCATAACATAACCGTTCGTTTGATTTTCCAAAATAAGGCGTCAAATTAAAACTCTTGGACTGCAGATATGCAACAAGGTTTTACTTTTTTGAAAAGAGTTGCCACCTTTTAAAAAATTTCATTCAGATTATCTAAAAAAATCAATTATTACAAATTGGGTATCAGTGGAAAGGCATTTGAATATATTTGTTTCTAAACATAACTTTAGGAGGAATGCCACCTGTTTAAAAAATTTAATTCAATTTGAATTACGAAAATTAATTGGGAGAAATAAGTTTCAACATATGGGCAGATACCGAAAGGGGTGGCTTTGAAAATATTTTGAAGAGGGTTGCCACCTTCTTGCAATGTCGAATTTAATTAACTTATCCAGAAGTTATATGAAATGTCAAAATAATGATGTGAAACCAATTGTATATTAACTCTCCGTCAGACACATGTTTCGATTGGCACATTCGGTACGCATGAGTCTGGCTGGACCCACATGCAAATTGTATGAATTTATATAGAAATTATGTGCAACATTTGTTCAATTAAACTTATTTATTGTATGTTATTCAAATATTTACTTAATTTAAGGGCTTTCTTTTTTATTTTACTATTTAAATACACTGGCGATCAAAACCGGGTGCATGTTCGACATTTTATTACTTACAGTAACATAACTTTTTTAATAATAAGCGGATTGCTTTGAAATTTTCAGCAATTTTTCCTTATTACCTAGGGTATAAAGCCCAGTAAATAGAAAAATTAACAAGTGATTCGCAGCAAAAACGCAAGGCAACTATCTTCACTCAGTTTTGAACTTTTAGGAGGTATATATCAAGAGGATTGTGGAGACTCCTTTGCTTTTAATAGCGATTTTCATACGTCCGGGAATGCTCTCTACTGAGTTTTCTATGATTTCGCTTGGAATATTACCCCATTATAATTTTGCTCACCTCCAAAGCTCTTTCATGTTACTGGAGCTCGCTTGTGCTATGCTAATCCTCTCTTGACCACAGCGCTCAATTTTTCGATAGCTTTGAGGTCTGGGATTTGTGCTGGCCACCATGTTACATGTTTTTCTTTGTATGGTGTTTTTGAAGATGTTGATAAGGTGTTTCCCAAAAATATGCCT